AACTGACTCCACAAGGTTTACAAGGCGAGGTGATGGTATAGAAGGGTGGACTGACTCAACAAGGTTTACAAGGCGAGGTGATGGTATAGAAGGGTGATCTGACTCCACAAGGTTTACAAGGCGAGGGGATGGTACAGAAGGGTGGACTGACTCCACAAGGTTAACAAGGTGAGGTGATGGTATAGAAGGGTGGACTGACTTCAAAAGGTTTACAAGGCGAGGTGATGGTAGAGAAGGGTGAACTGACTCCACAAGGTATACAAGGCGAGATAATGGTATAGAAGGGTAGATTGACTCCACAAGGTTTACAAGACGAGATGACGGTATAGAACGGTAGACTGACTCCCCGAGGCTTACAAGGCGAGGTGATGGTATAGAAGGGTGGACTGACTCCACGACGATTACAAGACGAGATGATGGTACAGAAGGGTGGACTGACTCCACAAGATTTACAAGGCGAGGTGATGGTACAGAAGGGTGGACTGACTCCACAAGGTATACAAGGCGAGGTGATGGTAGAGAAGGGTAGATTGACTCCACGAGGATTACAAGGCGAGGTGATGGTACAGAAGTGTAGACTGACTCCACAAGGTTTACAAGGCGAGGTGATGGTAGAGAAGGGTAGACTGACTCCACAAGGTTTACAAGACGAGGTGATGTTATAGAAGGGTAGACTGACTCCACAAGGCTTACAAGACGAGGTGATGGTATAGAAGGGTAGACTGACTCCACAAGGTTTACAAGGCGAGGTGATGGTAGAGAAGGGTAGACTGACTCCACAAGGTTTACAAGGCGAGGGTGATGGTAGAGAAGGGTAGACTGACTCCACAAGGTTTACAAGGCGAGGTGATGGTATAGAAGGGTAGACTGACTCCACAAGGTTTACAAGGCGAGGGGATGGTAGAGAAGGGTAGACTGACTCCACAAGGTTTACAAGACGAGGTGATTGTATAGAAGGGTAGACTGACTCCACAAGGCTTACAAGACGAGGTGATGGTATAGAAGGGTGGACTGACTCCACAAGGTTTACAAGGCGAGGAGATGGTATAGAAGGGTAGACTGACTCCACAAGGCTTACAAGACGAGGTGATGGTATAGAAGGGTAGACTGACTCCACAAGGTTTACAAGGCGAGGAGATGGTAGAGAAGGGTGGACTGACTCCACAAGATTTACAAGGCGAGGTGATGGTACAGAAGGGTAAACTGACTCCACTAGGTTTACAATGAGACGTGATGATATAGAAGGGTAGACTGACTCCACAAGGTTTACAAGACGAGGTGATTGTATAGAAGGGTAGACTGACTCCACAAGGCTTACAAGACGAGGTGATGGTAGAGAAGGGTAGACTGACTCCACAAGGTTTACAAGGCGAGGGGATGGTAGTAGAAGGGTAGACTGACTCCACAAGGTTTACAAGACGAGAGATGGTATAGAAGGGTGGACTGACTCCACAAGGTTTACAAGGCGAGGTGATGGTAGAGAAGGGTAGACTGACTCCACAAGGTTTACAAGACGAGGTGATGGTATAGAAGGGTAGACTGACTCCACAAGGTTTACAAGACGAGGTGATGGTATAGAAGGGTAGACTGACTCCACAAGGTTTACAAGGCGAGGAGATGGTATAGAAGGGTAGACTGACTCCACAAGGCTTACAAGACGAGGTGATGGTATAGAAAGGTAGACTGACTCCACAAGGTTTACAAGGCGAGGAGATGGTAGAGAAGGGTGGACTGACTCCACAAGATTTACAAGGCGAGGTGATGGTACAGAAGGGTAAACTGACTCCACTAGGTTTACAATGAGACGTGATGGTATAGAAGGGTGGACTGACTCCACAAGGTTTACAATGCCACGTGGTGGTATAGAAGGGTAGACTGACTCCACAAGGCTTACAAGACGAGGTGATGGTATAGAAGGGTAGACTGACTCCACAAGGTTTACAAGGCGAGGAGATGGCATAGAAGGGTGGACTGACTCCACAAGGTTTACAAGGCGAGGTGATGGTATAGAAGGGTAGACTGACTCCACAAGGTTTACAAGGCGAGGTGATGGTATAGAAGGGTAGACTGACTCCACAAGGTTTACAAGGCGAGGAGATGGTATAGAAGGGTAAACTGACTCCACAAGGTTTACAATGAGACGTGATGGTATAGAAGGGTGGACTGACTCCACAAGGTTTACAATGCCACGTGGTGGTATAGAAAGGTGGACTGACTCCACAAGGTTTACAAGGCGAGGTGATGGTACAGAAGGGTGGACTGACTCCACAAGGTTTACAGGGTGAGGTGATGGTATAGAAGGGTAAACTGACTCCACAAGGTTTACAAGGCGAGGTGATGGTATAGAAGGGTGGACTGACTCAACAAGGTTTACAAGGCGAGGTGATGGTATAGAAGGGTGATCTGACTCCACAAGGTTTACAAGGCGAGGGGATGGTACAGAAGGGTGGACTGACTCCACAAGGTTTACAAGGTGAGGTGATGGTATAGAAGGGTGGACTGACTTCGAAAGGTTTACAAGGCGAGGTGATTGTAGAGAAGGGTGAACTGACTCCACAAGGTATACAAGGCGAGATAATGGTATAGAAGGGTAGATTGACTCCACAAGGTTTACAAGACGAGATGACGGTATAGAACGGTAGACTGACTCCCCGAGGCTTACAAGGCGAGGTGATGGTATAGAAGGGTGGACTGATTCCACGACGATTACAAGACGAGATGATGGTACAGAAGGGTGGACTGACTCCACAAGATTTACAAGGCGAGGTGATGGTACAGAAGGGTGGACTGACTCCACAAGGTATACAAGGCGAGGTGATGGTAGAGAAGGGTAGATTGACTCCACAAGGTTTACAAGGCGAGGTGATGGTAGAGAAGGGTAGACTGACTCCACAAGGTTTACAAGACGAGGTGATGTTATAGAAGGGTAGACTGACTCCACAAGGCTTACAAGACGAGGTGATGGTATAGAAGGGTAGACTGACTCCACAAGGTTTACAAGGCGAGGGGATGGTAGAGAAGGGTGGACTGACTCCACAAGGTTTACAAGGCGAGGGGATGGTATAGAAGGGTAGACTGACTCCACAAGGTTTACAAGACGAGGTGATGGTATAGAAGGGTAGACTGACTCCACAAGGTTTACAAGGCGAGGGGATGGTAGAGAAGGGTAGACTGACTCCACAAGGTTTACAAGACGAGGTGATTGTATAGAAGGGTAGACTGACTCCACAAGGCTTACAAGACGAGGTGATGGTATAGAAGGGTAGACTGACTCCACAAGGTTTACAAGGCGAGGAGATGGTATAGAAGGGTAGACTGACTCCACAAGGCTTACAAGACGAGGTGATGGTATAGAAGGGTAGACTGACTCCACAAGGTTTACAAGGCGAGGAGATGGTAGAGAAGGGTAGACTGACTCCACAAGATTTACAAGGCGAGGTGATGGTACAGAAGGGTAAACTGACTCCACTAGGTTTACAATGAGACGTGATGATATAGAAGGGTGGACTGACTCCACAAGGTTTACAATGCCACGTGGTGGTATAGAAGGGTAGACTGACTCCACAAGGTTTACAAGGCGAGGTGATGGTATAGAAGGGTAGACTGACTCCACAAGGTTTACAAGGCGAGGAGATGGTATAGAAGGGTAGACTGACTCCACAAGGTTTACAAGGCGAGGGGATGGTAGAGAAGGGTAGACTGACTCCACAAGGTTTACAAGGCGAGGTGATGGTATAGAAGGGTAGACTGACTCCACAAGGTTTACAAGGCGAGGTGATGGTATAGAAGGGTAGACTGACTCCACAAGGTTTACAAGGCGAGGGGATGGTATAGAAGGGTAGACTGACTCCACAAGGTTTACAAGGCGAGGTGATGGTACAGAAGGGTAGACTGACTCCACAAGGTTTACAGGGTGACGTGAAGGTATAGAAGGGTGGACTGACTCCACGAGGATTACAAGGCGAGGGGATGGTAGAGAAGGGTAGACTGACTCCACAAGGTTTACAAGGCGAGGAGATGGTATAGAAGGGTAGACTGACTCCACAAGGTTTACAAGGCGAGGGGATGGTATAGAAGGGTAGACTGACTCCAGGAGGATGACAAGGCGAGGTGATGGTATAGAAGGGTAGACTGACTCCACGAGAATTACATGCCGAGGTGATGGTATAGAAGGGTGGACTGACTCCACGAGGATGGTATAGAAGGGGTGGACTGAAGGATTACAAGGCGAGGTGATGGTATAGAAGGGTGGACTGACTCCACGAGGATTACAAGGCGAGGTGATGGTATAGAAGGGTGGACTGACTCCACGAGGATTACTGGGCGAGGTGATGGTATAGAAGGGTGGACTGACTCCACGAGGATTACAAGGCGAGGTGATGGTATAGAAGTGTGGACTGACTCCACGAGGATTACAAGGCGAGGTGATGGTATAGAAATGTGGACTGACTCCACGAGGATTACAAGGCGAGGTTATGGTATGTATAGGTTAATCACATTTACATGGTAGTTATTTAGCCCGAACAGAGTTTACTTAAATAACTACCTAATTGAGGGTAAGTAAACGGCTTAATACGCGTGTTATGTATTAGGCATGATGAAGATTATCAAAATAAGTACGATTTTATCGTTTTTAAATAGAAATAATTGCCCTAGGGCAGCTAATCAGTTATGCTAATAAAACAATTCCAAGAACAATGGACTTAACTTTCCCTAGTGGTTTAAAGAAGGTTAGACTGACTCCGCCAGGTTTACAAGGCGTGGTGAGGGTACAAATTGGTGGACTGTCTCTGCAAAGCTTACAAGGCGAGGTGAGGGTATACATGGAGGGAATTACCAGTCGAGTCTGCTTCTACAAAAAGGATGGATTCACAAACGATTTGATAAAAATGGACGGACTGCCCATCCTGCTGATATGAGCAATGGACAAAAATTGCTGAACAGAAAACCTTGCATAATGTATGATCTATCTAGAACAAAGAACCGACGTAAGAATCTACCTTGACCGGCAGTTCCTCGCTGGAGTTGTCAATTTGATACAGCGCTTTTGCTTCGTCCAATAACTGTTGCCTGGTGGCCTTCTGGGGATCATTTTGAGGAAGAGTAGTGGTGTTATCATGTTCCATCTTGGTCTGAAGGTTTCACTGAGGCTCGCTGTACCGGGGTGGTTTATATACCCTTCTCGGCATACCCTTCCTGGGGAAAACGTTAGCATATTTGTGAGAACCGGAAACTTTATACCCATGTGAGGTATAGGTCTTAACAATTACAAATTAATTGTTTAAACAATGTATCTGATAAAGTTTCGCAGAATATATTGACACAGATTTAGATGCTGCTGTCATTATCTGGATGCAGCCAGATGCATGAAAAAACTGCAGTTAAATGCATAATGTTAAGACGCGGACCTATAAACGACGAGTGTAGGTCCACAAAGGAAGGCGCTTTGGAAGTTTAAACTTACACTGCCTACAATAGAAAGTCTTTTGTACTTTTAGGAGTAAATATAAAAGATCATGCAGCAAATATAAGAAGAAAACAAGAGATCTCCGACTGAAAACAATTGAGCACTTTCATTCAACATTCTGGTAAATATTGTCAAGAGATTCGTTCCTTGAAACGCAAAGGTGATGTTGCTTGTAATATAATTCCATTTAGCATTATTTGGCTAAATGTCGTTATTGTACGCTCCATGCATTTCCTGAATTCCTACAATTATTCTCATTCTACTGACAATTACATATCATTTCTTTACAGCAAACACAATAAATTCCTCTTAACAAAACTACCTGCTCATGTTTACAAACACCCCAAGATGTGCATTTCATCACATCCGCTTACATTACGTCATCACACAATTGGACACGTCATCATAATATTTATATTACGTCACTTTCTTTCATTCCGCCGCCATTTTAGATAACCGTCATTTTATCAACCACTTGTTAGCAATTTCATTTTATCATCTTTTTCTCAGTTTCCCTCCCACCCTCCCCATGTTTGCCAAACCCTTTTATTCTATCACTTTCCTATAACTTAAATCACGTTTCTCATCTCAAACTTCCAAATACTACAACTGTTATCAACCCTATCTCTATGTTACATAACCTTAATCTATTTACCCACAGATTTCATCCTAAATGGTTTAACTTTGTTGTACAATTAAATTGAATTACAATGACGTCAGGTGGCGAGGTTCGGGGCGGACGCGGGACCAATCTCTCGCTCGATTAATACCTCGATTTATAATGAGCAGGTCATTCAATCGCTTTGGCTTGGCCCTGCGTCCACCTTCGCCTTCCACACCTAGCCTTTGTTAATCCAATTCTCTACTTTGTTATCAATTTGTTATTACATAGTTTATAGCCCAGCGGATAAGTGCAATTTTTTCACTGAATTGTGCACTTTATGTTACAAGCATGAAACTTGGCATGATTGTAGCTTATACCATTCTAACTGAATAAAGATCGAGAGGCCTCGCAGATGTTTTATATTTTCAATAATTTGGGGGGAAAAGTGAAAAAAAAAATTCATTTTTTATACTATTTTCGTCATAACGTTTTACAAAATTCTCCAATTCTCATAAATCATATATCAAATTGTAGGAAATTCATAGCTGGTCATTTTCCATCTACACATGTCTTTTTATCTTTAACGGTTAGGTCTACGGAAGTCAATTTATATCATGACTATCCGAAAATGGGAAAATTGGCGGCCATTTTGAAAAATTGGCCGCCATATAGAGTACATCAGTAAAATAAGTATGAGATCATCCCATGATCTAACATATTTTTATCATTTCTTATCAAATTCAATACGAGAAGCCTCTCAGATTGTGGCCATTTTTCAATTTTGGAGGGGAAAAAGTGGAAAAAACTTGAATTTTCCAAAAAATGTTATTTTAACTCAAATTTAAATCCTCATAAATTATGTATCTAGAAAATTGTGAGAACAAATGAATGTTTATTTTAAGGAATATATCATTAGATTTACTTACATGTATAATGTATGAGCTTGGTTGGCTATAGATCACCTATAAAAACATATCAAAATCAACACAACATCAATGTCAAAGTATCTATCTCATCAACCTATGGAATGTTACTCAATCATGTGTAATTGTATCTAGGTTGACTGAATCAGAAAAGTGCAGTGCATTTGAGAGATCACTTGGACCGGTTTGAACATTTTATACACATGCATTTCAGCAATTCCCGGCAGCTCTTTCATGCCTTCGTGAGAGTTGTCCATAGTTACTAGTATGTTGGATCAAAGTTGATTCTGTTGGGGAATGATTCTGTTTGGGGAATGATTCTGTTGGGGGAATATTGTCCAGTGTTCTCCCCTTTGTGGCAAACGAATGTTTTCTTGCTTCATTCACTTTCATGAGGTTGCTTGCACTGTCATACAGCAGTACAACAAAACTCTCAAGCTGATGAATCTGTGCATTAGGATTTCAAGTGGTGGACAAGCGAGGGAAATAAAGGTGCCTGTAAGTTCAGGAAAAGCATTCCATGTATTCCGCGAGGCCTTCTTTTCAATTCCACCAAAGGATGGCATACTGTCATGGCCTGAGAAGCTGTGAAACACTGAGAACGCTTGATGCAGCTATGGCCAACACAACCACGTCTGTGTCAACAATACAGATGTAGAACTTCTTCCATGAAGACAAGATATAAACAGACGAGTCAAGGGATGGAAACCTGGATGGGTTTGTCAGACATGAAAATCAGTCTTGCTCACCAACTATATCTCATCAAGGTTCTCTACGTCCATGCGCAAAATCAGTTCTTCTCAATTGCATGAAGAAAATTTCACCACCAACTGACTCAAAACCAGATGTTGACGTATCAATCCTTGATGGATCTGCAGTAATAAACATGCTAAAACCAGCAGCTCCAATAGCATTTGATGAATATGCTGATAATGTGTTCTTGAAGTACTTGCAGTCTCTTCTGGACACTAATCAGAGAGTGGATATTGTCTGGGACGAATACAAAACGGACAGCGTAAAAATCCAGTGTAAGAACAAAAAGCGGAAGTGGAAAAAGACGACGAGTGGAAGCCAGTTCCTCAGAACTGGCAAGAATTCCCGAGATGTGATGCCAGCAAGAAATAACTTTTTGCTTTCCTTGTACAGAAAATAGCCTTGATAGAATCAAACAAGTCATCAGCACAATTGGCGAATATGTGGTGTCCAATCAACCAAAAGACCTTTTGGAATTGGCACCCTGTAACTATGAAGAGATAAAAAGATAAAAGAAAGTTGCTTCGCTGATGCTTCACATAAAGGATGGAAGAAGTTTTACAGCCGTACTGTTGACACTGATGTGGTTGTGTTGGCCATAGCTGCAACAGGCATTCTCGATCTTGAAGAAGTATGGGTGGGGTTTGGTACCGGAAAACTCTTCGCTATATTGTAATTCGTGAACTTGCATCAGGTCTGGGTCCTGAGAAAAGTAGATCCCTTCCAATGTTTCACAGCTTCACATTCTGTGACAATTTTTCCTGAACTTACAGGCACCTCTATTTCCCTCACCTGTCCACCACTTGAAATCACTAATGCTGATTCATCGGCTTGAGAGATTTGATGTACTGCTGTATGACAGAGCAAGCAACCTCGTGAAAGTGAATGAAGCAAGAAAGCATTTGTTCACCACGAAGGGGAGAACTTTGGACAATATTCCCCCAACAGAATCAGCTTTGATCCAACATATAAAGAGAGCTGTAAATCAGGGGAGTTATGTTTCAGAGCAATGCCTGATGAAATCACAGGAGTTACCAAGCCCTCTGCATAGGGTTGGCAATAACTCTAGGGGAGAGCTTGGACCTGTATGGACAACTCTTCTGTTGGCATGAAAGGGCTGCCAGGAATTGCTGAAATGCATGTGTATAAAATGTTCAAACTGGTCCAAACTGGTTTAAAAGCAGCTCTTAAGTGCTCTGCACATTTCTGATTCAGTCAACCTAGATACAATTACACAGGATTGAGTAACCTTCCATAGATTAATGAGATAGCTACTTTGACTTTGAGATAGCTAAGTTTTCATAGGTGATCTATAGTCAACCAAGCTCATACATTATACATGTAAGTAAATCTAATGATATATTCCTTGAAATAAACATTCATTTGTTCTCACAATATTCTAGATACATAATTTATGAGGATTTAAAATTGAGTTAAAATAACATTTTGGGGAAAATTCCATTTCCCCCCCACTTTTCCCCCCAAATATGAAAAATGGCCACAATCTGTGAGGCTTCTCGCATTGAATTTGCAAAGAAATGATAAAAAATATGTTAGATCATGGGATGATCTCATACTTATTTTACTGATGTACTCTATATGGCGGCCATTTTTCAAAATGGCCGCCAATGTTCCCATTTTCGGGTAGTCATGATATAAATTAAAGATAAAAAGACATGTATAGATGGAAAATGACCAGCTATGAATTTCCTACAATTTGATATATTACTTTTGAGAATTTTGGAGAATGTTTTTTTAAAATTATGACGAAAATAGTATAAAAAATGATTTTTTTTTCACTTTTTTCCTCAAAATTATTGAAAATATAAAAAATCTGCGAGGCCTCTCGATCTTTATTCAATAAGAATGGTATAAGCTACAATCACGCCAAATTTCATGCTCGTAACACAAAGTGCACAATTTGATCACTTATCCGCTGGGCTATTATAGGAGAGTCGGACAATAAAAACAGACCAGTGGTTGTGACACGGTCGGTCTGTCTTTTCACATTCTGATGAAGATGCTGATTGTTATAATACAACCCAATTGTTGAACACTATGGATACTTTAGAGACCAGTGACTATACAGAGACTGATGTGGAAATCCTTGACTCAATGATAACAGAAACCGAATTTCTCGATGCCACAGAACATCTTAAAAGCAGAAAATCAACTGGTCCGGACAAGATTTTAGTAGAGATAATAAAACTTCCAAAGACCTGTATTATTAACATCAGTCTATTATACAACAGTACCATTACATACGAAGGGTGACATGAATAACTCTGATAATTGTAAAGGCATATCTTTGACAAGAAGTATACTAAAATTCTGTATTTCTATCCTCAACAAAAGCCCAAACATGAGGGCAAATATTAG